AATAAAAAAAACATAGATACTTTATTTATATAGATATAGATTAATTATGGTAAAATATTTATTAACAATTTTCACCGAATGTTTATATTAGCATTCTTTTATACGATGTAAAATGTTTAAAATATTTTGACTTTTTGAGGTATTTATAGGTATGAGAAAATTTTGATTTTTATTAAAATTGAATTTAACAAAAAAGAAAAATAAGTTTACCGAAAAATAAAATTATAAGCTGAGCGTTTGAAGTTCTAGTTTTTTTGAAATTTTACATTTTACTCATAAATTAATGAATTCTCATCAAACAATTTTCCTGTTTTGTTATAATTAAAAAAKAATTACCATATATACCTTTTTTTTTTATATATATATATTAACAAAATAACATTTTACAATCTGTACATAATAAAATACAATAAGAAAATATGTTTACAATTATAATCGTGACTTTAGATACATGAGAAGGGAAGCTATCCAGTGATAGGACCCTTTTTAGTTGAGACGTTTAGGACATGGAGTGATGTTTCAGTTTAGGAGGTCGCGACACCAACGTCTTTTGAGGCGACGAGCGGGGTTACCTGGAATTGTGGCTGAGTGTTGATTTGCAATCAGAGGATTTGGATGATGAAGTAATATAATAATATAATAATACCTTAAATGAAGAATAACGATTTTAGTTTTTTTTTTTAAATTTTTTTTTTTGAGCCTTTGGTTAGTAACTATTACAGTTCAAAAAATGATTTTAGTTATTTTGTTATAATTTAAAAATACGGATGCTTATGAAAATACTATTATATTTTATATATACACTGACATTTTCTAATGTAATTTTTTGGCAAAAACTAATTCAATTTATGTAGGTACTGTATTACTAATGAGTAATGAATAACAGTAATAAATCACGTAAAAAGCTATCATATCATAAAATATACTTAATATTTAGTAATATAGGATGACGGATTATTTTCATTGAAAATAGTTTTGTCGTGTAAAATAATTTTATATTAATGGATTCTAACTATTTAACATATCCATTTTAGTGATCTTCTTCTAGAAACCTTCTATGTACGGCAAAGCTTTTTTTCACTTTACTAAATTTTATAAGGTATAAATTTGTCGAGACAATCTGGTGTTGCTGTATTTACGATTTTTATATTATACAATATTTGCCTTGCACTCAAAAATGAATTGGGTTTCTGTTAAGAAATTGTTTTTTATGCTTAAACCCAAAGTTTAAAAAATAATTGTTACTTAATCTATTATTGTATAATAATTGTATATCTATTTATTTAATATTATATTTTTATGAGCATGTATTTATGAACATTTTATTTGGAAAGATAATTTATTTGACTTTAAGGACTATTAGTGCATATTGACGCTAAATCATTATCAAGATTTCTGTTGTCCTTTTAATTTTGCAGAAAAAATCTACACATGAAATTATACATATCACACTAATTTATAACAAGGATGGATTTTATTTATCTCATATTCCTTCGCGAGCTTTTGTCAAGGCCGAGGTATACTTTCGATTTATCGATGGCATTGATTTTTGTTTTATTTTATACTGTTGTAAAGATATCACGAAAAAATATCCACTTATTTAATTAAATTCGTATTTCAAAAATGTCTAAATGTAATTCAACAGCAATAAATTATAACATGTGCGTATTCAATATACTTCAATGTGTCACGAAACCTAAAATTCCTCGTTCTTTAAAAATTCATGTCATTTTGTATTCCGAATAGCCAATATATTTTTCAAAGATTATTTGTATTTTTTTTTTAAATATATAAATATAATATTATGAATTCAAAGTGTCTGAATGATTGATATAGTTTTAAATTGATGTAATTTGTTCTAGTTATTGTGGTTTTTAGATGTGTGATAAAATATATTATTTTTTTATAAGTCGATGTGTAATGTATATATATTTTTTTAATACACGTGCATTAAAATTGTATACCTTAATTACATATTGTAGCCAGAAAAAGATAATGTTAGGTTATAACATCATTACGCTTTATTCATTAATAAATATTTTGAAAAGTATAAGTCATGTACATTTGATCTCTAATGTATCAGGTCTTTAGTGTTCTTTTATCTCTTGTATAGTATAAGGTAAGTAATACATATGTGTGGGTATTTTTTCGGTCCTAGTTTGATAATTTGAAAATGGTTATTTTGTAAAAATATTCGTTATATAATAATTTCTCTCCTTGTAGTTTTATTATTACGTATAAAAGCATTTATCATACTGATTTWTCAGCTTATTGTCAGTTACAATATATAAATAATGTTAGTAATATATTTTTTACTTTTAAAGTAAATTATGTGAATTGAATTTTATAGGACTATATAGAATTATATGATAATTAGGTTTAGGATATATTTGCGTTTTTAAGCTAAAATAAAATAATATACAAATAAGTGACAAATTTGTATTATTATATTAATTAATGTGTTCAATATTTGGCGTTTAACCCAGGCATAGGTACAATAGTGACGAGGATTGGAAGATACAATATATAGCTATATAAAGATATCTTTATATAATAATATACTGATACATATAAAGATATGTCTTGCAGGTATAACAACGTAACAGGTATACTATTATGATCAATGACGGTTCATTGTCGTTTATAAATTATGACAGTTTCTCAGTTTCTAGTGCAATTTACGGTATTTTGACATATTATCGGTACAGGCTACCTTCGCAATATAGGCTTGCGCATCTATGCGATAAATCGCCTTTTGTTTTCACCAAGTAAAAGCAAAACAACGGCTATATGATTTATATGTAATATGAAAAAAAAATACTTTCCCTATTATTCGAATGGCAAGGACGAACAACTCTGCGTGATTTTATAATTTATAGTGGGGTTTCGTCGTTTTGGAGCAATTTACAACGCTCGGAGGGATATGGTATACACAACACAGTGTGTAGTGACTAGTGAGAGCTATAAAACAAAACAAAAATACGTTTCCGACGATCATCAACGTTTCTGTCTGTGGCGACTTTTTCACTTTGTGTTCTGGTTGGAGTATAATTTATAATATGACGAGACGACTGTTTGTTGATTTGTCGACACTGATATTGTCTTCACGCTATACTTTAATGTATTATACCCACCGTCAACCGTATTGGCCTGTATAATGTCAACGGTAGTGTGACGTATCAATGAAAAATACGATGAGATTTTTTTTCTTAACTTTATAGCTTTTATGGTAAGCGCAAGCTTGTAGTATTATTGCGGCATTTATCCAAAAAATTATTAATTCTTTGAAATTAAAATAGAACAATAGTATAGTATCTGTCTATTTGAAAACTAATTTAATTCCTYATTAGTTATAATGGCGTGTTTATAAATGATAATAACCACGTACAGAGCGTATAATATAAAGCATATTGATATTTATTTTAGTCCATTATCACTTGATCATAAAATTTCATTCATGGTGTATTTACTTATAATAGTATTAAAAATTAAACAATTCAATTTAATGTATATAATATGTATAATCTTACCTATTGAGGGTGATTGCGACCAATGTAAAGACTGATGATGCAACTGTCCAGTAAGCAATGAAATTAGACGCCATGCAAAGTTCCAGACCAAAAGCCCAATCAGAGTTGAGCATATAAATAAAGTTTGGTAGACAATTGAGTGAAGCCATAAACAAATCGGAGATACTTAAGCTGACCATGTAACAGTTAGTTACAGTTCGCATTCGCCTGTGAGCTGAAAAAATAAATTCACTTTTTGTTTACAAAAATAAAATTAATCTGTAAATATTACGTACAAGTTTCAAAAAATTGTAATAACTTGAGTTTGAAATAATATTTAAATATATTTATATAGCTGTGGTGATTATTTTAATTAAGTTCAACTTAATTTATTCAAGTATAATAGTATAATATARTATAAAAGTATACGAAAAAGCTGTTAATAATAAAAAAAATTAATTTAACATACTCGTAAGCACATTTTTATCAGTTTTATCTGTAACCCCAYAGATTTAAATTATCAATTATCAGGTTTTGTGTTGTTGATAAAATTATACTAGTATTCTAGAATACTTATAATTACGAGGAGCTATATTGATATACTATTTAATTTATTCGTGTTTGAATCAGTATAGATTACAGAACATTATTTTAGCAAGCACTTATATAATATACATCCATAGTTTTTAGAAATGTCTATAAGTTTATACGGGTCAAATCTTCACTGGTGATAGTGAATTATTGTCTTTAACCGGGTTCTCAATATTTCTGCATCACGTATAGGTTCTTGCTTATTGAAGTATATACTAGTTTTTAACATTTTCACTATTTAATGATCGACCTACATATAAGTATACTACCATAACTACCACCGTTGTCGGGTTTCTTTGAATCATCTTAAGTGAATTATGCATTTATCATGTTGTCATAGAAATTGACAATTCTGTGATAATATTATGTTCGGTGTTTGGAACGTTCAAAAAAAAAAAAAATGAATTGATTCACGTTCACGTTTTTTAAAAAATGAATGCGTTCTTTGGGTGGCTCAATTAATATTTTTTAATATTTTTTTTTATAGGTTTTACCGGTTATAGGAATTATAATAAGAAAATACTATTATATAATATAATAGCAGTGTACCCATGATTTTGAAAAGGGGTCGCGGGGGGGAGGGTCGCTAAATAAACCTCTACAAATAATTGATAATACACAACATTTTTTTCAAAAATCAATTGCAGAAATATCATTTTGTACTTTGGCTTATATCATATAAAATATATACCATTATAACACGACCAAAAAGAGAGGCTGAAGTCTTCCCCCCCTCCTCCCCAATGGGTACGCCACTGTAATAAATTAATCAATATATTTTAAACATATATTTATTAAATGGTAAATAAATTGAGCGTCTCAAAAATCGTTCAAATTGATTAAAATATAGACTTCGTTCACGATCACTACGTTCAATATAAAAAAAAAGAGTGACGTTCACATATTGTTCACTAAACATGAATATAAACGTGTGAACGTGCGTTCATGAATGACGTTCTTTCCAAACACTGAAAATGTSAATATATTAAATTCCATAGTAAATCGTATGAATAAACATGCATTATATTAAATCATATGAACAAGGATGTAGTTTAAAAATACAAAATTATAATATAATTTATAGGTTAGGAACGTACAAGTATAATATATATTAATATTTTGTAAACGATTGTGAAATAGTCTTATAATTTGTTGCCAGGTTAATCACAAGCTATAGGTAAAAATTTATTAGCGATTTGACATAATAATAATGTACAGTACTACATACTTTATGGTAAGAGTATAAGAGTAATATATTATATTATATTGAATGGTTGTAACAGATATGTCGGAGGAGAAACATTTCATTTGGATAATTTCCAACAGAATTTCGAACTTAGGATACGGTATTGGGTTATATAATATGTAACGGCCGGATAATATATTCTCGCAAATATCAACAAACCGGATACTTAGTAGCATACGTTGCAGCTGTACGTTTAATGTCCATTGTAAGAAACACTATACATAAAATAGTAAATACAATAATTCATTTGAAATATTATGTTCATTGTTTAATTGTTTGTTGTGAAAAATGGATTTAACATAAACATCACATTGAAATCATTACTTTTCATTTCTCTCAGTTATTAATACATCAAATGACATGGAAAAGTATTTAATGTAATATATGCATTATGTACATATAAATAAATATGATAATTCAATTTTTTTGTTATGTATAAAAGCATTCACAGCCTACATCGATTTTTTAAATTATTATTGAATTTTAAAATAATTATTAAATTATAAAATTAATAAAAAAAATGCATTCACTAAACGTTTGGACATTTTTTAAGTTAAATAAATTTACTATTGTGTATTATTCAAAGAGATTATAGACAAAGGATATTATTATTAGAATTATTATTATTATTAAACAGAAGTAATTAATATTTATACCTTGGTATGAACCAATTCTATTATAATATTCGGGTTCGGTGTTTGTATATTTTGTATGATTTGTGAATATTTCTAGTGAGTTAAACGCAAAGATATTGGCTTTGTTAATGTTTGAACTAAACATGGCCCCGTTACAGAGAGTACTAAACATAAATTATATTAAAATATGTCAAATAGTAATTATTATCACACTTTGTTAAGATATTATCATTGTCTGTACAAAATTTATTAGTTATATACCATTATTCCTGCGATACCGGATAACCTACAATAGATATTTTGGTATTTTTAGTATTAAAAGTTTTAGTCTCAGTGTTTTAAATATTAAAAGTCGCTATTGTTATTATTTGTACACTTATATTAAGATTATAGGCACCTAACATTATGTTAATAGCGTGAATTTAATATAGCTGCAAGATAAGTACTTAACAACTTAAAATATTAAGCTCCGGAAATAATTATTTACATTTTAACAATATCTAATTAAGTTAAATATAAACTTAACCAAATGAAAATATACACTATTACACATTTTTTAAAACATCCTGTTCACTTGATTAAATAATTAATTGGGATGATGATCTACATAGTAAATGGTCTAAAGAGGAAAAGGTAAGACAGAACTGTATTAATATAATTTCAAAGTACAATAACTGTACTATAAATATTCAATTAAATCGCATCATTTGTATTTTAAATATTTAAATACATTTTTTATAAAAAAATATATTATTTATGACACATTAAAAACTCCAATTTTTTAGAGTATCTACTCAAACTTAATATTACGATTTTTACCCGTGGATGAATAAATAGGCTTACCATATAAATATATTGCAGGCAATGCACTAAAATTGTTCTATTGTCTAAATTAATGATACAATTGTATTATTGTGAAGTAAAGTTTTATTGTATTCAAAGTTTGGATGTATTTCATTTTGTGCCTCTAAAATTGGCCAGAGATATCTTAAATTGATGTTATTGAACACTAGATACTACCAATCCCGAAAACTAAAATACTGCGTGTACAATCGAAAAAAACTCGGTAGGAAAAGGGTCATGTGGTATTGTAGAAAAATTATTTATTTTGGACACGATCACAAGCCGCATATAGATGTATAATATATGTATATAGTTATATAACAAACAACAAAACAAAATTCTGTGTAAAATAATGAAGATCTGGAAAAAGATTATAAATAACGTTTAAATCTATAATGAAATAGCAAATAGGTAACTTAGATTAAACAGTTAATTAATCAGGGTGAAATTAACATATCATATTCTTATAATGTGAGTAGATAAGCTCAAAATAATAATATTATATGTTTTATTAATTAATAAGAATTATCAAGAATTACATTTTCGTATTCATTGTTGAATATAAATTATAGCTGAGAAATACTACTTTGAATACTAGAAACTATAATTAGTAGCTATATATGTAGTATAGGTAAAAGAATAAATAAACATACCTCAGATGATATAATATCGATTCAATAAATTACTATATTAGTTTTTGTATAAGTACGTTGTTATTTATTTATTTTACGATTTTTTGATGTTGAATATTTATTATTCATTATGATCTATACCCGAGATTTAATTTATGTATTATCACTTGTCAGAAAAAAAACCATGCAAGTAGTATCGTAAAATTTGATTGACAGGTATGTTGAGAATTTTCAAGTTTATTTGAGTAGGCCAATAAAATGAAAACGAAGAAACAACGCAATCCATTTAATAGAATACCGTGTGACGTGTGTATAATATTATATTGATTAACATTCGGGATGTAATTTGGAGTAAAACCATGTGGTTTACAAGCACCTTGAATGATATCTTTAATTCAATAGTATTTGGTCCACTGAAGGCTGAGAGCAGTATAATATATGTATATTATATATTTATATGTGATTGTACAATATAAATGAGGAAATAAATAATTTTTTTTATTATATTATTTATTATTCTATATTAAATATTTCTAAAAATTAAATTTCTTATTTCCTGAGAGTGTTTTATTGGCAAGGATTCAGAATAGATAATATATTAGTATAAAATATGTTATTTTTTGTACAAGGACAATTGTATATGTACTAGTTGGTGATAAAATAATTTATTATTCAGTTGGATGATTAGATTACTTATAATTTGGCTTAAAACTAAAATAAAAATAAAACAATTACAAAGAAGCAATCTGTTAGGTTAGTATAACGATTAATCTGATTTGATATTTCAGAATATTTTTATGGCTTGGCCCAATGGTAGGTAATGCAATTGACTGCGACTCACACAGTCATCAAGTCGATGAAAGTGCAAAAAAAAAAAAATTGCACGATACTACGCCATCACCAATTTCCGTGCTGTTGTCCAATTGCGTCATCCAGTTTCCAGATACGTCCCATTTCA